GGCCACCTGCGCCGAGGCCGTGGCCCTGGCCGAGGGGCTTCAGCTGGGGCAGGCGGAGCACGAGACGCTCCAGGTGAGAGGGTTCGTTTCCCCCCAGTCCTCAGTGCTGCCGCCTGCACCTCTGTGTGTTTGTGGATGTTCCCTCCCACCCCCAGCTCTCCTCTTTCCCAGCTCCCCAGTGATATATTTATCTCATCCCCAGGTCACAGTGCATGTCAAGGTCGAGGAGGTGTCGTCAGACAAGATGCAGCCCACTGGGGCATTGCAGGACCCTCGTGGCTGCTGGCTGGAGCAACCAAAGGGCCATCCTGCAGACAGGCCTCTGGAGGAGGCAGGTCAGAGGGAAATTTCAGGACCCCAGGACCAGCTGCCTTATGTTCTCCAAGACGAGCCTCTGCCCCACCAGGAGACAGGTGCTTACAAGCCTATTTGGTGTATAAAATTAACATGGGCTTGACACCCACAGAGCAGTAGTTGGTCCCCCCGGTTATTAAGGTTGGCTATCAGATATAGGTAAGTTGATTTGGGGGGACAAATAAAAAGAAAACAGGGGTGGGAGTGAGATCTCAGGTTCAAAACAAGTGCTGCAAGTTGGGAGGGGACACCAAGCAGAGCCCACCAGACAGACTTGAATGAGTCCAAGGAGCCAGTGGCAGGTGCGGTACCGGATGGAGGCTGGGGCATGGGTCTGGGTGCCTGAGTGGGTGTCCTGTGTGCAAAGAGAGGGGCTCGAATGTCTGCTCCTGCCCAGGACAGAGATGCAATATTTGTAACCATATGGCTGGGGTGGGACAGCCCTGATCTTTTTGGTGGGCAGCATCCAGGCTGGGAGCTCCTGATCTTTCTCACTGCATGTGTACAGCTCTCAGCAAAAAGATGCTTTATCTTGCTTGGGCCTTGCATGGAAATATCAATGATTGAATTGATTTTTCTATCGTTCAGTGTTCTAATTATATCAGTCCATAAGGGGCTAGTGCAAGTGTTGGGTAAATGAGATTCCCCAGGGACATCTGTCTGCTTCACATACAGTTAACCCCACGCCTGTGTCCTGCTGCAGATTCCCCCAACACCAAGGAGACCTGGGACTGGTCAGCAGGTGAAAGCTCATCAGGCTGGTGCCCTGGACAAGGCCCTTCCCCAGTGGCAGGTAAGGAGCGGTGGGTCTACCCTTTGTGGCAGCAGGAGGCATCATCCCTCAGTGGACAAATCTCTGCCAGTACACTTTTATGGGGTCACTGCTCCAACAGATCAGCTTCATACAATGTGGAGCCAAGTGACCTTACATTTCCCTTTCCCATCCCCTTAGTATGTAGATGGTGGCACAGCACAAACATCCCTGGAGCTTCTTTCCCAGGGAACAAAGTCCCTGCAGGCTCTGACCTGGTGTTGGCATCACCCCCCTGAGCTGGGACAGAGTTCTTGGGGCTCATCTCCAGCTTCTTGCCTGAGGACGTCTATTAGCAAGAGCTGTGGGACTATGAGTCTACCTTCTTCCTCTTCTACATACTGAGGCCTCCTGCTGCCTCAGTCTCAGGCCAGTACAGGAGAATGGCAGGGTTTTCCCCATGCCAACAGCACCAGGGCTAACCTGTTGATTTTGTTCCCTATCCAGCAGGTGCCGACACCCTGAGCAGAGCTGATCAGCAGCCTCCTAAGGAAGGGCCTGTGAACCTGGAGTTGAAGAAGGATTCCCCAGGGAGACTGGGAGAGAGGGGCTCCCTGACACCTGAGCCGGGCCAAGTGCAGAAGGGGCAGGGCAGACCGTCAAAGCCAGGGGAGAGCTTGGAGGTGAGCAGGGCACCAGCTCCAGTTGGGTGTGGGAGTAGAGGTGGGGCCAACCCCAGCAGGAGCCGGGTGCTGTAAAGAAGTTGGGGAGTAGAGAGCCCTACAGAGCAACAAGCCTGTGGTGATGGAGGCTGCAAACATGCAAAGCTGGCATTATCAGGGGTGCAATCCCAAGTGCAGCTAGCCAGGGATTTGGGCACTGGAAAGCCTGGTCAGAGTCCATGGAGCTGGGGCTCCCTGCTTCTATAAGTGCTCAAAGGGCTGATGGAATAAAACGTGATGAGCTGGGCTAAGGCCGACACACAAGCTCCTTTTTCCACAGCTGCATCCACATCCCAAGTCAGCTGACTAATGGGGAATTTTGCACCCTGCCTGTCATGACTAAACTTGCAGATTTGTAGTACGGAGTTATACCAGACAGGGCTGTGGGGGCTGGAGGCAGGTGGGACAGGAGACACTGATGGTGTAACGCTTGTGCCTGCAGCTCCAGGAGGTGTTTGAGGACGTGGCTGTGTGTTTCACCCGGAAGGAGTGGGAGCTGCTGGAAGATGACGACAAGGTGCTTTACCGGGACCAGATGCTGAAGAATTACCAAGCCCTCGCTTCCCTGGGTAAAGCTCTGGTCCTTGCTTCTCCCTGGAGCCATGTGAACTCTGAAATTTTGTGGTTTCCCCCCTGTTTTTGAATAGTCTCATCCTCACAATTTTTTTGGCTAGTGTTTTAAATTCCTTTCCTTCCCACTGCTCTGTCAGTGATCTGACCTCTCTCTCGTTTCATATCGATAGACCCTCCTTCATTTGATCCAGCTGCCTTCACTTGAGTCTTCCCCATTCTTGTAACTCTTGGTGTTTTCATAGTCAGCAGCTTCTTGGCAACATGATCTCCCTTTGCCGCCTTAGCCTGTTCATATCCTCTCCAATTCATTGTGCATAAATTCACTAAGAGCTGTTCCTTGGGGAATTATTCCAATTTCCTCCCTCTCTTGCCTAGTGTGCCCTGTCCAAACACATTTAACAATCAGAGCATAATCAAATTAGTGCTTTCTAAATCCCCTTTTTCCTCCTTTGGTTATTGCCCAGCAGAAATTAATTCAAGTCTTATCAGTCTTTGCTGCTACAACATGGATTAGGCATTTCCTCAACTCCTTCTCTAGTGACATAGGTACACGTGCTGGAACCCAGATACGTCTAATATGGAGTCACCAGAGTCCTTCCTAACATCTTCATCTCCATAGACCACCAACTGGCTTTGCTGTATTTAATTTGAAACCTGTGCATTCAAGCCCACTCTGCCATTCTCAAAACTTTTCTTATTCTCCTAAAATCCTTCTGCGTGTCAGACACCCATCACTATCATAAAAAGAACAGGGCTTGGTGAAGGGCCTAGTGAAAACCAGTTTTCATTTGCAGAGGTTCATAGATGTTAGGGTCGGAAGGGACCTCAATAGATCATCGAGTCCGACCCCCTGCATAGGCAGGAAAG